TCTCTGTCCTGTCCACCCACACAACCCCACTCCCCTGTCCCTTCCCTGCCAGAGAGAGAGAGATTTGAGATTCATCACACAACTCACAGCTCCATTTCTCTTTTATAAATCTCCTTTTTTTACTGCCATTTTTTCATTTCAGTGTATGTAAAGTTTTCACCCCTTTCCTCCTCTTTACTTCGTGCATGTGGTAATTCCTTGGTTTTGGCCAGTATATTTATCTCATGCTAGGGATAAGTTAAGTTTAACTAACCGAGCGATCGAGCTGGGATCAACGAAAATGATTAGTGAAGAAGTCTGTGGTCATTTTGTTTGTGTATGTCATTTGCAGTGATGGCAATAGGGTTACAGGGCGGGTATCTTAATATCCATGTGGGTCGTTTGGATGAGTTTTTTGTATAAGTTATTTGCACCCAAATAACTCATTGGGTGTAAATAATCTGTTTGTCTACAAAAATTGATGGTGAGTTATTTGTACTCAGTGGCGGACCCATAAAATTTTCATAGAGGTACTAAAAATAAATTTAATGAAAATAAAAATAAAATAATTAATAAAAATAAAATGTAAATAAGAAAATACCTTACTCGTACAGGTTAAGTCATTATGTGTTTTCATATTCTGAAATAATTGTAGAATACACTTGGTGTCTACAATGTTAAAAAAAATTGTCTCTATATACCCTACTAGACAATCATTCACGAACCTATCACATATTCGATTTGTAAAATTGTTGTTTTTTAATAATAATTTGTAAACTTATTTTTTATGTAACCCAAAGTTGAAAGACTCTTTCAACACTTGTCGAACAACTATAAAAATCAATAAAAATTAAGGGTAGGTTGAAATTAGTTTAATTGCTAGGTTTTGAAAATAATTAGAGATAGGGAATGCAGTGTTCAAAATCTTACAACATATGAGTTGTATTTTAAGGAAAATTAAGTGTATTAATAATAATAGTGCTCTAGGTTTGAATTACCCAACCTACCACTTATATTCTCATACACAAATTAAAAAATGACAGTAAAATAATCATTTTTTTTTTTCAAATTTCAAGGGTGTCCCTCACTATCCATTATATTTTTTTTTTATCCATATGTAAATTACTACCGTGGGTTGGATAATCGTTTTCTCAAAATTTAGGGGTGTCCCGGGACACCCCTAAAGCCCCGTGCGTCCGTCCCTGTTTGTACTTGAGTTAATTTGAAATAACTCATTAATGATTTATTGTCAATACCTCATAGGAGGTAGTTATTGTGAAATAACTCACAAATACCACATTCTCATTTTGTGAGGAATTCCATTTTTATATTAACCCGTTAACAACAACTCATCCAAACGACCCCATGGTTTACGTTACTGTGGGTCGGGGGCGGGTAATACTCGTGCGAGTACGAGGAGAGGTGGGTTGACCCACTTTTATGTTATTTGAAAAAATACATACAAAATTTCACTTTTTCGATAAACCGAAGGGGATACACTTTATGAATGAAAAATGGTGATGCTAGAATGGGTAATTGTGTCTAACTAGTTGAAAAATCAAGTCTAACTAGTTGAAGAAAAATCAAAATAGGAGAAACATGAATGTATACGATAAGAGATTGAGACAATGGCCCAATAACGAGGCGGGGCGGGGCAGGGCAGGGCAGGTCAAAAATAGATACCTATGCCCCGCCCCACGCTACTGTGGGTCGGGTAATACCCGCCCCGTCGTGGACCAAGACGGGTAAAACCTGGCGGGTGGGATCCAAATTGCCATCCCTAGTCATTTGGATGGGTGTAAGTTCTGATTGTCTTTGATTCCTTCAATGGGTTATGGGCTCCTGTGTACTCAATGCGAAGGAGCTCTTTCACAGTTAGTGGTGAAGTCAGAATTTAGAGTGAACAAAGAATGAAAATAACAAAGTGCAATAGCTTCTCACTATTGAATCTAAAACTTTGGAGGGGAGAACTAATAGTTTTCATCCTACCCTTTTCAAATGCTTTCTCAATATATGAATACACATATTATAACACTAGATAAAAAAAAAATGAGGGAGATTTGTAGCCCCTCCTAGATTACACATAACTTCACCATTGTCCCAATAGACGTATTGCGAGACAGAGATAGCAACGCCGGATGTACTAGAAGGTCATACATGGAGATGGATTCGAGCGTGTTGGCAACAAAGGCTCTGTATGTGACCCTTCCTGCTCGTAAACTACATTTGTGAAACCTAGAGGTGGCAAATGGATTGGATCCATGCATTGGTAGATCCATGGATCATATGGATTGATGGATTCACGGATTGGATCATATGAATTGGTGGATTGATCTATGAATCCAAATTACATCCAACCTTTTAAAAAAAATTACAAAAATAGCACCCAATCCATAAAATTTACAAATATAGCACCATTTCTTTGAAACTGCACCTGAAAGGTGTGTTTTATAAATAAACCGCACCAGGACGATGCGTTTTATTTATAAACCGCGCCTTGGAGGTGCGGTCCATTCCACGTCAGCCAGCGAACCGCACCCAGATGGTGCGATTTGTGTTTGCTCGCCTGCGGCCTAGGAGAGCGTTGGATGAGGCGACGATCCAACGGCGGACCGCATGCCATGTCAGCGATCCGCGCCATGGATCGAAGACCGCACCAGCCTGCTGCATTCAGCGCCTCGAGAAATGGAAACTGCACCCTCCCGATATGGTTTCATTTGAGTGCAAAATTACAAGACCGCCCCTGGAGGGTGCGATCTGAATAGTATAAATACCCCCCCCCCCCTCTCATTTCTTCACACCACAACCCATTCTTCACTCTCTCTCTAAAATTATCTTTCTATCTCCTCCCCTTCCAAAAGCCTAGGAAATAGTGGTCTATTGGTTGTGGCTAAGTCCGATCTGCCATCAGAAAACATTTCTTTGGTTTTTCCCTCAAAACCCGCCGAATTTCTGTCCCACTTTCGCGAAAAAATGGACGAGTGGTTCCAAGGAGAGGGAGTTTATTATGATGAATTTCAAGCGGTACGTACTCATTATTCTGGTCAATTTTTGTTGTGTTTATAAGCTTTTTAATTATTATATGTACTAACCTTGTTGTTATTATGTCGTAGGTTGGGGACGACGTGGATATATACAACCAACAATATTATTTGGATTAAGGACCTATTGATCCAACCGACTTGTATGACCAACCCAACCATCGTTCAAGGGATGTTTGGAACGATCATGAGGTACATACAATTCTTCATCATTTGTCTTTATTTTATTTTGCTAATGTACTTAGTGGGATATAAAATAAATTTGAAATAATTTAATCGTATTGGTTGTTTTCAATAATTTAATCCAATACATAGCGCCACTTATTTCGACTCTTTATAAAGAGATGCACGTCTAAGGAAATGGGGTTTTAAGCGATTATCATGATCCTCCCATTTCCTGGGAAAATCGGGTATTAAGAGATCCTCGGATCCCCCTTTTTCTGTCAAAAATGCTGCATTTCTAAGAAAATGTATACCTCTTCTAAGAGTCTAACGAGTGTTGCATTGTATTCGATTAAATTATTTAAAAAAACCAATACGATTAAACTATTTATCAAACAACCAATACGATTTATGTTTATGTGTACTTAAATGAATTTTATTAATTTCAAATGTTTGAATATGTATGTATCTCTTTAAATTATAATTCATTTAGAATGTTATTTATGTAAATTAATTGAGTATGTTTGTTTTATGATAATATGTATATATCTTGGAAAAACCATCAATTATTTAAATTTGACTGTTAATAATATAATTATAATAAAATTATGATCGAAATTACCAAGAACTGCACCTAGGCCATGCGGTTCTGTTAGGTCATACCTGAAACCGCATGTCCAAGATGCGGTTTTGGCCCAGAACCTTAAACCGCACCTTGGGCGTGCGGTTCACAGTCAAACCGCACCTTGGAGGTGCGGTTTTAGAAAAAGGGTGCTATTTTTGTAATTTCTATGGACTGGGTGCTTTTTTAATTTTTTTTTAAAAGGTGATATTTCTGGAAAAGTCCTGTACTAAAATGTCATAATAAGAAATTTTAGATACCAAAACATAATTATCCAATTATGTTTTTCATATACATAATAAATTTAGGTACCAAATTTCAAAATATAGTTAGTAATTGTGATTTGTCAACAGACCATGAATCCAATTCATGTATTTCATAAATCCAAATGGATTTGGGTCAAATGAATTAGATTTAAATGGATAAATCAATTAAATATTTAAGTGAATGGATTGGATTATGGAATGAGAGACTAAGAGTGCATCATCAAGGCCTTAGTTACCAACTTGGCCAGAGGGGGCACAACCATTGATGGGAATTTTGCATGGTTAGGGACTTTGCTTTTGAGATGGATTCATGAATGTTCGTCATGATCACCAAACTTGTTCAAAGCTGGGGGCTCCACTTCATTGCTAAAACAAACCGTTTGTGTTTGCATTTTTCTCGGAGTTGGCTACTATACGAAGCTGGAAAAGAGGCGGTCTCTTCTTCAACACAATTCATCTTCAGAGAAACTTACCAATAAATTTTAGGGTTAATATTTTCGTATGGTCTCAACTTTGACCAAAATAAATAGGCAAAATACACTTGTATATCCATAACTTTCACGTTTGTGACAAATATATCCATAACTATCGAAATACACAAAATATCCAATTTCGTCCATTTTGTTAACGGCGTCAGTTGATGGTATAACTAGACTAACGGTAGAAGCTGAGTTGGCGATTGATTTACCCCACCAAATGACGTGGATTGTAAAGAAAAAAATAACAAAAATTAAAAAACAAAAACAAAAACAGAAAGAGAAAGAGACACTACCTTCCATCTTCCCCCTTCTTCTTTGAATCTCCCCATCAATCTCTCTTCCAACCTCAGATCTACCCTTCTTCTTCTCTGCATCTCAGTCCCAACTTTCGATCTCCTCCCTTCTTCTTCGAATCCCCCCGTCAATCTCTCTCCCAACCTTCAACCCGGATTCATAACTGTCGGTCAAGCACCCCGAAAACCGGCTTCTGGTTGACGTACTCGAACACCGACCCAATCCGCATCACCAGCAGCACCACAATCGTGAGATTTCTGCAAGAAATTACAGGTCTTGGCGGAGGATTGAATTTCAATTTGGGTATTCTTTTCTGAAGATTACAACGGAGATTGCAGTGATTGCGGAGGCGAGGAGATAAGCGAAGAAGGGGATCTTAAATTCTTCCCCGCCGGTCATTACTTTGGCGGCTTCTCCCGTAGCCCACGGCGGCGGTTGTCCGAATTGGGGTATATCCAAGACGGTATCGATGACGATGATGGTTCGTCCGGTTTCTTGCCCGAACTCGACCCGACCACAAACCTTATCCTCCTCGTCTTCTGTCTACGAGAGTTTAAAAAGCTATAATCGCCGGCGTGTTTCTCCGACTCGCCGATTCGCGCAATGGGATTCGCCGATTTTCTCAGGCGCACGGTTGGGAGGAAGTAGCAACAGGAGGAGAAGACGCACGTGGATGCAGCCATTGCCGCTGATACTCGAAATTGATGCGTCCACATGTCAAATTTTGCTGACCTGGAGCTTAGGTGTGGCATGGGTATGGTCCTAGTCAGCGTTCCGTCACATTTACTGACGCCGTAACAAACGGCATTAAAGTTTGTAACGGAAATGGATAGATTTTTCACACGATAGTACGCTTTTCTGGGTATTTCGTGTATTTCGATAGTTATGGATATATTTGTCACAAACGTGAAAGTTATGGATATGGAAGTGTATTTTGCCAAATAAATATCCTGGTCGATATTTTCGATTTATAACATCATGACCCGAACTATACACCAAAATAAACAATTTGGTCAGATCCGACTTTTGACCGTTAACTTGGACGGTCAAACGCGTTGACAGTTAGTCAGCGCGCCATGTCACTGCCAAGTCAGCATAAAATATTTAAAATAATTCACAATTTCCACACATTTCCTAATTTTAAATTATTATAAATTAAAAAAAATCATCTAATACCTTAGTTAAACAAAAAATAAAAAACGAAAATATTAAATATTTATCAGATCTTCTGACTTCGCAGTGACGTGGCGCGTTGATTGTTAGTCAAAGCGTTTGACCGTCCAAGTTAATGGTCAAACATCGAGGTTGGCCAAATTGTTTATTTTGGTGTATAGTTCAGGCCAGGATGTTATAGATCGAAAAGATTGGCCAAGATGTTTATTTTGGTCAAAGTTCAGGCCATAAAAAATATTAACCCTAAATTTTAACATTAGGAAAAAGTTTCGACTCTGACTATAGTCTCGTTATAAATATATAAACAACATCATATATTAGAGAAAAAAAATATCCGACCACATCTTCTGATTTCATCAGGCTGTTACACTTGTGCCCACACTTCCTAATAAAAATAACTTGATAGTTTTGAAACGTGTAGAAATTTGGGAAATGGTTGTTCAGGTTATTATTTTTATTATTGCATTGCACTACTAGTTTTGTAGTAATGTTCTAGAGATCCTACTATGGTTGGATCGAAAATACCATATACGAATCGACTTCAAGCGGTAGACAGTATTACCACAAAACGGTTGAATCCCACGATTTCAGTACAAAATATCTATCACGTACTAACTTTTTTGACATAAATTACAGTACGGATTCACAATCATCAGTTAATAACCCACTAAATGAATAACATGTTATGCATCTAATATGTAAAAAAAAAAAAAGGGTGAGCAATAATTATTAGTTAAACCTTTCTCGTATTTTTTTATTAGCACATCTAATAAATTACTAACAAATAGCCAATTTTTTGTAATGCATCAAAATATTAGGCATTTTTTACATTATCGTAATAATTTTGTAACTCTTTTCTTAGTTAAAATACTAAAGTTTTGGAATGTTGACCTCCATGTGTCTCTCTTCTAATTTAATATCATGTTGCCAAGTCAATATTACTAACAAAATTGTTAATTTGAAGTTAATATTTGACTCATTATTCGTAATTCAATAAGTTTGGCTAATAAAAAAGAATGCGGGAAAGGTTTGGCTAACCGTTTAAAGATCGATGGTCTTATACGGTCAGGGTTTGCGAAATTGGTCATTTTGAGGTTAGTGGAATAAACGCAAACCGTAGTACCGCACAAAAGAAACATTGTCGAATAACAGGGACCGAGACCGGACCAGGACCGGATAGCAAACAATTCAATCCCATCTTCGGGCTTAGATTTAAGGTGAAAAACCGTTCGGGATCGGAATGAAAACCGGATAAGAGAGCCTAACACCCAAAATTTAATCAACTCCTCGCCCTTTCAGGCCTCGGGCCACTCAAATCCCCACAAGGTCAATCTAAAATCAAAACCGAATTGGGACCGAACTGGTTCAAGACCGGACCAGATCAATACCGGACTGTATCCAATACAATCTTTGGTCCTTATATTCTCGAATAGACCGGACCAGAACCGGACCCATTCGGGTCCATTTAACCGGACAGGACTGTATAGCCACCCTAATTAGAGCTGGCTATTTGGTCTGGGTTTTTTTGTTTTCCCCGAAACCGGACCGGGACCAGATAGTAAACAATCCAATCCAATCTTTGGGCTTAGATTTGAGGTAAAAAACCGTTCGGGACCGGATTGAAAACTGGATAAAGACCGGATAAGAGAGCTCAACACCCAAAACTTAAGGGTAATTTGCATAAACGGTCACAACCCTTTGCACTTAGTACAAAACTTAACCAACTCCTCACCCTTTCAGGCCTTAGGCCAATCAAATCCCCACAAGCTCAATATAAAATCAAGACTGAGTGCCTTTCCTAATCCAACAGATCCCCATGAGGTCATGACTAATCGATAATCGTGGTTTTTGGTTAATCGATAACCATTTTCAGTGGGTCACGATTGACGAATTTCTCCTTATTCGGTAACAGTTAATCATATTATTCGATGTGGTTAACTTAAACCTCGCCGTTTTTCATTCATACATGTCATTATCAAATTGTGAATTTGAATTGAGTATGTATGGAGTTTGGACGATTGACATATATAAATTAGTCGAAATCATGAAACTTTGACAAATGTTTAAATTTTATCCCATCATATCTTGGTAAAAAAAAGTTGATTCGAAAAAACTACTAGATCTAGTTATGAGAAGAAAGAAATCTGATTGTGAAACAAAGCCTTCAATATGTGGAAGTTGTACTCCATAAGGGTTACATGTGGAGTTCGGAAGTGTAAAAATAGAGCTCGAACGTCCAAATTACATCAAGGAATGTATAAAAGTAATGAGTAATGTCCTTGGTCGAATGTGTAAAAACCATTTCATGAAAGAATGGAAACATTACATATGTGTTTACACCATAAATTTTATCTTGTACCACATTGGTGTGTTACAAGATAATCAAAGAGTTTATAAGGCCACACCCATTATAACAATTAATGTTGTTTAAATTGGGCCTTATGGATATTGATTTTAAACCCAAGTCACTAGCTCATTAATGAGCATGAACATGATTCAATAAGGGACATGGGCCTCTCGTAAGAGGCCATGCCATGCCACGAGATGGCATGAAAATTTCTAAGTATGAAAAGTCCATGACCATGAATGAAGAGGCCATGCTGCCTCATAGCCAAGGCCAAACGACACAAAAACATGTCCATCTAGAATTTAGAAGCACATGCCATCTCAAGGAAGACCTCGATACGGTCAAAAATATTCTAAGTCTCGAGAAGGGCATGCCACTTCACGAAGAGGCCATGCCGCCCCATGACCAAGGCCTAATGACTGAAAAATAAACTAAGTCTGGAAGAGGTACATGCCACTTCAAGGAGAAGCACGTTTCGCTTCATGAGAAGGGGCATGGACGCGAGACAAGATGAGACGTCCATGCCACTTCACGAGAAGGGGCATGGACACAAGAAAAGATACTAAGTATGAGAGGGTCATGCTGTGTCACGAGAAGGGCCACAAACATGACTGAGAAGTCCATGGCCGCGAATGAGGAGGCCATGTCGCCTCATGATCCAAAATATACTAAGTCTGAGAAGGTCATGACGCCTCACGAGAAGGGCCATGTGCATGATTAAGAGGTCCATGGCCGTGTCATGTGATGGCCATGGACACGAATGAGAAGGGCATGGTGGTGGAGCACTATATCAGTAATGACTAAGTCCCAAGTGGGCCATGGACATGGGTAAGAAGTCTATGGCCGTAAGACAAGAAGGCCATGGACATGAGTAAGAAGTCCATGGCCGCGAGGCAAGAAGACCACGACTCCCTTTGCGAGACACTACATGCTCGTCAAAAGACTAGCATAGCACGAGATTCAGAACAAGACTAGACGAGGCAAGCTAAACTCCAAAACCCACGACGGTTCCAAGAGAGGCACCTTAGCGGTTGAAGGAGTAACCACCACTCCGAGGAAGCAGGGAGTAGTTCTTTTTGGGAGTTATCCAAGAGGCGGTTTTCTACCGAAGAAGGAGGAGCGGTTCTTTGTAGCAGTTATCCAACAAGCGGTTTTCTATGGCGGTTACATCCTCGGGGCTATAAATAAGAAGAGGGGTCGACAAAGACAAGGGGTTCAAAAACCAACACTCTGACACACATGTCAAGTTTATCCTTTACCTTTTCTCTATCATGTAGCCATAGATGTAGTTCGTAGTTTGGAGCTCTCGCCGAACCTCCATAGGAGTAGAAGTAATTTAATTTAGATCTCGTTCCCAAAAACCATCAATCAAACACCCTCGTTCGAACTTTGCTTGAAGAGGTTTAAGCCGTGTCTTAGAAATCGTTGTCCATAGAATTCAAAGGTGCAATCCATCTCAATTCAATACAAAGAGTTTTCTCGCCGGAAAACAAATTTGGCACACCTGGTGGGACCATTGTGTTTGATTTGATGGCTCCACGACTGAGTGAACAAGAAGGTGATCTTTCACCTGGGTTTGTGATGGATCTTGTCGCCAATTTTGAACTTGGCCAAGAGGGACAAGGATTGGTCAGAAACAATGGCAAGGTAGAGGCTTCGCCACGGCCGACACCTTCTGTCAAAGTAACCACCACCGTCATGTCACGCCATTTGATAGTGGAGGAGACACAGAAGATGATGACGGAGAGCCGCCTGGCCATGGAGAAAAACCTCCAGGCCATGGAGGAGAACCGCCAATTCATGGAGGAAAGTTGGGATGAACTTGTTGGATGTTCACATCAGACAAGTCTCAAACTTGCTTCTCTTAGTTCCACCTTAGATAGAAGGTTGGACGAATTATTTGAAGTAGTTATAAAAAATAAAAATTGCTTGGATAAGTTTATAAATGATTTTATAGATCCAGTGGTGCAAGAAATATCTTTACCAAATAATGGTATAGATCCACCACCAAGTATTGCTACTAAGGATACAATTATTATGGTCTCCGATGGTCGGACTACCCAACCACGGTCAGGAAACTCGTCGCCTCCGGTGACAAGTCAACCCCCTTTTTACGTGGTGGTTATGGCGAGAATCTCACTCACAAGTTCTCCACCCACGTAA